TTGGTTGGTTGGTTGTTGTTGGTTGGCTGGTTGTTGTTGCTGCTGTCGGTGTTGTTGATGTTGCTGTTGGTGGTGCTGCTGTGGTGTTGTTGTTGTTGTTGTTGTTGTTGTTGTTGTTTGTTGTTGTTGGTGTTGTTGTTGTTGTTGTTGTTGTTGGTTGTTGGTTGTTGGTTGTTGGTTGTTGGTTGTTGGTTGTTGGTTGTTGGTTGCTGGCTGCTTGCTGCTAGCAGGTTGCTGTTGCTGTTGTTGTTGTGGTTGTGGCTGTTGTTGTTGTTGTTGTTGTTGTGGATGGCTGCTGTTTATGTTGTTGCTGTTGCTGCTGCTGTTGCTCTTGCTGCTGCAGCTACTTCTGGAGGTTCTATTTCTGGAGGTTCTGTTTTTTTGTGGCTGCTGCCCTTGATGCTTGAAGTAGCTTTGCTTTTAAATTGTGCCCATATATGTTATTTTGTCTGGCCGGGTATGTGTTCGTAAAATATTATTGCTTCCCCTGTTGTTGCTGGTGGTGTGCTTGTTGCTGCCCTGCTTGCTGTTGTCATGTGGCCTGTGCATTGAAGGAGGCTCTGGTGGCTTGGTTCACTCCCAGGCCAACGCTGGCCGTTTCATGCCGGGCTTGAGCACCGGAGGTGCAATGCGACCGGACGAGCCGTGCCCGCTTACCCTGGGTAGAGCTGGCAGTTCCTTGCCATCCCGTTCATCCTCGCTGACAACTACTCAGATGATGTCACCGGCTCCGGCCGGTGCCATGGCACCGCCTACTGTGAAGAGCTCAACGAAGAAGGCTGGATCGAAGCCAGCCCCAGCATCCCCAGCCCCAAGCGCACACTCGAGCGGATCATCATACTCAGATGGTTCTTACTGGCGGTGCCTTTTCTCCATTATAAACACACATGAAGTCAAAGTTCCTTTGTGCATGTGCAGCTCCATGCATCTGTTAGGGGCCCCCCTATCTGAGGATGAAACGGTATTTTACGCCTAACAAGAAGGGCGAGCTGAAGTGCAGTGAGAAGGCGATGGAAATGTTCAAAGACCCCAAAGGGAGAAACTCATTGGATTGCTATTGTGTGTGTGTGTGAGCATGCATGCATGCATTCAGTTTATATATATATATATATACTGGCATGCATCATGTTTACACTCAGGAGAGAAACTCCGGGACTTGCTCGCCAAACACGGCGACTTTAAGGCCGTAGAGGTGGAGTTGGAGAAGGTTTCCACCCAGAAGGCCCTCAATGAGGTGGAGGGGTCGTGGGAGAATGACATCTCATTGGCGGCTCTAGGGTGGACTGAGTAACCATACTGCAGCTATATTCGTTGCACACGCAGCATGTGGGCACAGAAGCTTCTACGCATGTGCACTTCTACTCTAAGGACCATGATTGGAAATGCCCGCCGGTGGGCAGCATCCAAAGGATTAGTGCGCACAAATCCGGTGCATGGCCTCGAAGAGATCAAGATCCCCACCAAAGAGTCCTTCAAGTTTAGCAATGAGCAGCTTCAGCGTTGCAGAAATTCGGGAACTTTCGAGGCTGAGGACAGGATGTGGTAAGTGGGGGGCTTAGGGGACTTAGGGTTTGGGTTGTTCCCCGAAAGAACTATATATTTCCCTGAACCCGAAACCCCTAAACCCGCCTACACCCTAAACTTATGAACTGCAGTCGGCGACTCCTAGATTGTTGCAAACCGACCCATGCAAAATTGTACCAAGACCCTTCAGAAGCTATACCCAGCATCATGCACGGGTGTTACAGGCCGGATTTCATTACCAAAAAAGAAGCTGTCTTCCCCAATGTATGATAGCAGAACCTCCCTCATTAATCTCAAGGCTTAGTTGGCCATCCTTAAGTCACCATAAACCCGAAACCCGAAACCAGACCCTGGACCCTGAACCCATAGACGTACTCTATATAGATCATGTGCATCACCATTGTCACAACAGCACTTTCACCACCACCATCTCCTTCGCTGCCACAATCATCATATCATATCGAATGTTATGTCATATACGCTTGTCATCATAATGACATACCGCAGGCACCATCATCACCGTCGCCGTCACTATCATCATCATGGCCACCATCACATCAACGCCCCACCACTTAGTGTGGAAAGCATAGGGTATCATCATCCCACCTTCATCATCGTCATCAACCATCATCATCTATATATCGTCATTGTCATCATCATATTCTTCTTCCTGACACTCATCATCACCATCACCATCTCCTTCATCATCGTCATTATCACCATGACATCGCAATCATCCCCGTACCATATCAATCTATGGCAGACAACATCCCACACGTGATATATCATATAACGATATTGTATATATATATATATATATATATATTTTTTTTATTTATGCATACTTATAAATACATATATATATATATATACATACATATATACATGTGTATATGCATGTATATCATGTGCCATTCATATAAGCTAGCATACATACCTATATATATATATATATACAAATATACATACATATATATATATATATATACATACATATATCTATAACATACATACCACAGATTATGTAATAGATCGTGTCAGGTCATGACATGCCATGCATACCATGTCATATCACACACCGTGTATATATATATATATACATATATATATATATATATCATATATCATTTATTTACACACATATATATATATATATCATATATCATATGTCATATATCATGCATCATATATCACAGCACATCATATCACCAGCATCGTCGTCAGAGTCATCTTCACCACCACAATCATTATCATGCTGGGTGCCGGGACGAGCTAGGCTTTGCAGGTCTAGCGGAAGAGGGGTTTGGGTCACCTGTTCATCAAGGATCCTGTTAGGAGGGTTTGGTTGGGTTTTGCAGGTGTTGGACAAGCTGACCATCAATGGGTTGGTTCAACGTACCGTAGACCCTAAGCCCTGAACTAAACCCTAAACCCAAACCCCAAACCTTGAACCCTAAACCTTTGGGCCTTTGCCCGTGGTGCTTGTGGCCTTCGGCTGGGACCTGATATATAGTCTCGTGTTATTGCATGAGTAGCGCTAGGGATTTCTGTTTGTTGGGCCCAAACACCAGCTCCCCAACACTCTGGAACCCTATAAATATATCTCCAAACCCTGACCCCGGGTGTCCTAGATTTGAGGATCAGGGCCTTTGGGGATCATGTAGCGATTTTTTCATTTGCAAGCCGTGGTTCTTACTGGGACTTTTCATTGGGATATCTTTAAGGGTTTGTGCATGGCTAAGGGGTTAGGGCAAGCTATAGTTTAGGGCTTAGGGTCTTGGGGTATTGGAACCCGAAGCCAACACCTGCACAATATCCCTTGCAACTTGAAGCTCCGAAACCCAAGGTACCAGCCACAAAGCCCCAAAATCCAGTCGGGAGCCATTGTTGCTTATTACACCCCTAATCACCTATAAACAAATTAACCCCGTTAATTGTCTCTTCTATAATTCAGGACAACTCGGGCTTCCTGCTCTCCGACACCGTCGGCATGGCCGATGCCTTGACGAGACCAGCTTGCATGAAGGCTAGTCATGTTGCCGGATATACATAGGTGTGTATATATATATATATGTGTGCGAATGCATACACATGGCACCGCTTAGGGGTAGCGCGGATGGCGAGGGCGACGTGAACCATGCTCGGGTGGCACTTTCTACGGTGGCAAACAGCGCAAAGGAGAAGTGCTTGCCAGTGCTGCAAGCGAATCAGGATGTTTTCAGCAGCTGGCCTTCAATGTATTAAATCGATCGATGTGCAAAACTCTCAGTGACGGTGATGCATGCCTGCCTTTATTGCAAGGTGTCCTGGCTGTCTATATCGACATGTGCGGCAAGAAAGTTGACAAAGCCACCGAGCTATCGGTGGCCTGGCTTAGGTACACATGCATAGGTAGGATTATCATGCATATATCTGGGTGCATGCATGTGCCATGTATTAAGGACAAGCTGTCTGGCAGTGGCATCAAGCGTGCTGTTGAGCAACTTTATTGCATTGCGATGCATGATTTTGCAGTATGATCCCTTTATGTGTTGGTCCTTCCCCCTGCCACCACCAGTCTCCAGCTCAGGCTGTCGACTGAGTTGAAGCCAAAGATTGCTGAGATGGAAACGGACTACCGATCCCTCCTCCAGTTCCAGACCGATGCGGTGCTTGATGCTGGTACCCCACCATCGAGGACTAGCTGCGTACTCTAAGGAGACTCTAGGCTTCTAGATAAACGTCGGACCCATTGCAGCCTGCTAGGAAGACGAAAGAGGATCTCTTGAAGTGCTACGCAAGTTGCACTCGCCTCGACCTGGCTATCAATGCCTTGATGATTCGGGGCAGGTGCAACCAATAGTCCTTTGCATAGCCCAAAGCCTCAACCCCAAACCCGAAACCCTAATCTCTATCAGGAGCATCAAGCTGCCCGTCACGGCCAAACATGGTGGTTCCGGCTCTAAATCAAAGCCCAAGAATGGCAAGGGCCCCGCCAGCAGTAAGCGCAAGGGTGCTGCCGCGGCAAAGTCTTCGGCCTCGAAAAAGAGGCGTACGTAAGCGAGCTTACCTTTTTGGGTCTGATCGAACAGGGCGCCTGTGGTGATGCATGGTATACCCTACTGTACATGCACTCATACCCTGCTGAAACATCGTGTGTATCATGGTGGTCGTGCTGTGCCACAGGTGCCAAGACAGCTAGTTTAGCCCATGTGCACATGTGTGCATGTGCACGTGCTTAATTCCGCAAGAACCATCGAGACCTGGGGAGCTCGCACAGGTGAAAATTAACAGTGGTGGATGAAGCTGCAAATGTCAGTCATATCATGAGGATCAGCCTTTATGGTTCTGCATGTCTCTGGCCAGGTGTTTCTCTGGGAGACAACAACGACTTGATTTCCCGTCTGGCTGGTGGTGCCTGGGTGAAAGCTTATAAACAGGCTGAAGCCTGTACTTAACTCATTCTAAACCCTAAACCCCCTAAGCCTATATATATTATAAACCCTATAAAAGCTTGAAGCCGTGTAAGCCCATAGCTGCACCCCGGCTAGCCTAAGCCTATAAGCCCGGAACCCAAAAGAACGATGTCTCGCAATGTCATGACCAAAGCCTCCATATACATGAAGTATTTAAGTAAACCATGCATGAACCCATACCATATAACCCGGCCGTTGAAATTCAAAGGTCGTTAACGCTCCAAACCACGAACCAATCAAAGAACACTAAAAGAACCCACTTACAACCTGTATCCCCTAACCTCGAATACCAAAACCATAAACCTCACGCGAAACAATAAAACCCCAAACCCTAAACCCAAGTCAAAACATACAAGTCACCTCCTACCGTCCCTGTGAAGCCAAGGACAGCGCTCTCGCCGTGAGCAAGAAGACCATGACCTCGATCAAGAAGCAGCGGGTGCAATCTTGTCAAGATACTTCAATGGAGTTCCCAAGCTGTAGTATGCCTACGGGATGTGAAGCTGTTTAAATCGTGTTGCTGAGGCAGACTCTGCGAAACAGGCATCGGAAACTGCGACTTTGATGTGCAAATTTGGGGATGGTTCACGACACCTGGCTGCAGTGTATGTTCACATGCTATTTGGGGGCCTTCAGTTGCTGATGGTAGTGTGCGTGGAATCCGCAGGACAGCTGGACCTACTGTACAAGCTTTCAGCTGCTGGTCGTGGCTGTTCGAACACTTGCCGAAACCTTCATCGGCTGATACACCGCGAGAATATGACAGTTCCCGTAGAGCTCAGCTTCGTGGAAACTCCAGTTCGAAAGAGATGGCCTACGATCAAGAAGGTGACTGTTGCCTACCCAGTTATCTATCCAAGCAGTTGGATGAGATATCTGCTGCAGGAGCATAGCTACCTGGTCTTAGGCGGAAACGACATCCAGGACTCTGCAAGGTGGCAAGCGTTGCTTTCTGAGTTTTGGCAACTCCACAACGCATATGATCCGAAGCACATCATGAACGGCCCCGTCACCCCGCCTGCGACTCACACTATTCCATTGTATATCCATGGTGACGAAGGGAGGGGGAAGTACAAGCTTCCCATCATGGTGGAAGCTGTGCAGCCGTGCATATCTTTTAAAGGTGTGACGTTCAAGAACAGCAGTGGGAAGCTAAATTCAGAAAAAGCATATTGGTTTTAAGTTCTATTATGTCGAGTTTGAAAGACCAGAAAACCCAATCACATAGCCCGAGACCCCAGCTAAAGCCTAGCATGAATGTATAACCCAGTGGATTCATTTCCATAGCACACTTAAGGCACACCTATTGCACTCGATTCCTCTACACCGTCGTGCCAGCTGAACTTTACTGGACAGATGCAACCCTCGACAAGCTGCACAAGGCTTTTGCTGCAGACCTTCGTGATCTGTACTACAATGGACTTACGGCGGCTAATCCCAACTTATTATGTAGGAGGTTCCCTGTACACCTGACCTGTTCTAAACTAACGTATAGCTAGAACATTATGTATACGCATCATGTGTGGACTGTTCAAGCCTGTAGGACCCAAAGCCATCTAGATCGATCTGCTCTGTGTGGATGGGCTGAGGTCGAAACTCCTCAGGGTCCCACAACCTTCCACTGCAGCGTCGTAGGTGTGAAAGGCGACTGGGTCTTCCTCCGCAAGGTGGGAACTCCAGACTGTGTCGATCGTGCGTGATAGCATGACATATGGTATTATTTTCTGTACATGTGTTTTGATCGAGGCGATGGCATTGAAGACAGGGTGGCAATGCAGGCGTAAGTGTCACCTCTGCAGCAGTGAGGTTGCTGGGCTGTATTATCAATCCTGCAGCAGGCATGTGTAGTCCGGAAACACATGCAGGTCCTGTGACAAAACCCGGGCCCATCTACCCTAAACTCTTAACCCGGCCTATTATAACCCTAAACCCCACACCATATAAACCCAAAACCCTATACCCTCGCAGTAATCCTAAACCCTGAACTCAGGAATGGTTCAACTTTGCCACGGATGCACCGTGGCGCTCCCCTGGTGAGAGCCCGACTCCATTCAAGCGAAGAGGTAGTCCGTTGTTCACGGTGCCTGGGCTCAAAGCTCCAGAGCGGGCTTTGGTCGATCCAGCCCACACGTGGCACATCGGGCCCCTAGGAGACAGCAAGGGCACGTGTTAAATTTAAATTGTTTGAGTAGCCAACCTGAAAAACCCCAAAGTCGCCTAAACCCATGATGCTAGTAGGACCCCTAAACTTTGGGTACTGCCCCCAAATATTATATCATGGATATAATACTTTATATTTTAAGAGTATTTTCATCCAACTGTTGATGAGACGGGGCAGTGTCCAATCTAAAGGACTTATGGGGTTCTGAATTATCCTAGGGTGTAGGTGCTCGAGGATTGGCCGGGATTTCGCATCCTCCGGAGTGGTTCTGCTCTGCCACCTGGGATTATTCCATGGGCGGTATTTGAAAAATCGCCTTGCAAATGCCTTCGTTGACTTCATCCAGTGGTGCCGTGCTAACAAGAAGTCTACCAACATTCGCGGATTCTCAAAATCTGGCTTCAAGATGAAGGGGACCCTCTGAATGTATTAGCTATATAGGGCATAGGATTTTGCATAATCGCCCTGTTCATGATCAGGAATGTATGGTGAGCTTGAAAGCTAGTGTTTCACATACAGTCGGGTTCAGTGCGGGTTTCCATCCAAGGAATCGAGGCTTCCCAGGAGCTACTGGTGGTAGGGGTGCTGACACAGCCATCCTCACTTCATGGTTGGAGGATTTGCTGTCCAGGCTGGAACCTCGTATTATCGGATAGATGTTTAAGATCTTCTTTGTTATACTGCTTCAAGTTCTGTAGATTGACCCTGGGGTTACTGCGAAGGGTGATGTAGCTAAGGTATGCTCTCGAGATCTCTTTGTGATGCTGAAGTACACAGCTCAGTGTGCGAATGCATACTTCAGAATGCTTCACCATGAAGGGCTGTGGTTGGAGCCTGGGACCAGCATGCTGGCTGCAAAAGCAGGCGAAGAGATGTGTGCCTCCCGGCTAAACCTGGTCCAAACGTCCCATCCCGAAAACAACTGCACAACCCGGATCTGAGGCTGGTTACATCCAGCTGGCCCGACACTGCAGGATGACCACCACCTGGGGTCTGTTTCGTGTCAGGCCCAAGCTGCATATGCAGGCGCACTTTGGGTGGCTTTCTGGCAGTTAAATTAACTCCGATCGTGGTTTCATGACCTGCAACATGATTCAATGGCCTTGCCTTTCATCCATGCATATACTTATGAGATTCCCAGGATCTCACTTCGAGATGCTGCGGACCGTGGGGTTAAGGCCATTAACCCTGCCAGCCACCTGGCTGCACTGTGTGTAAGAGCTGATGTGTGGTACAACGATTTTGGGAAGTGCAGATGCTTGGGATGTCCGCCAGCTAAGACCAAGCATGCTGGAGCGATGAAGACTTTATCGGCAAAGCGGCGCGGCTGGCTAGGCATAGCGGCACACACGCTCTCAGCTGTGCATACAGAGCTATGCAGAAGATGTTGGGAGCTTACAAAGACCAGCTGGACAAGCAAGCTGCAGCAAGAAGCACGGGCTGAAAAAAATCTGAGAGCGTGGCTCGTTCAGCTTTGAAGATCTCGATCGTATGCATCATGAACATCAGTGGCAACTTTGGGCATTTGAGCGTTTTTGTTGTTTACGAGCGCTTTTGCGGAAATCGAGCGTTTCTCTGTCGAAACGCACTAAAGTACAGTTCTTGAACATCATCACCCCGAAACGAGCTAAAAAGTAGAGCGGGCAAGAATTTATTATACAAAGGGTTCTCCAGGTAGGTACTTTGGGGCCATGGACCCTTAGGGCTACCTATCGCAAGGTAAAGTCGGTTCGATACGAAAAAGATACGCGCAGTGAGATGCTGTTAGAGGACGATTCCCTCAAGCTTCTTCAATGTACGAGGCTGACACTAGTCGCAGTCTCCCGGCAGCCTGGCCGTTGCAATCGAGGCTGTGTAAACGGTCCAGGAATCCAGCAGCTACAGAGCTGAAAAAGCTGACATGCCAAGCTACACATAGATGCTGAGCTCTGTGTATGCTAGAATCATCATTGTGTCATATCCCGGCTCTCCTCTTCGGAAGGGTTTTCGGCAGCTCGGCCGGAGAGAAATGTCCAGAAAGAGGTCAGGGCAACACCATTCCTCGACTGGTTACACGCACCCTGCATTGCGGGCGGCCGCCACAAGTCTTTGTCAGGAGCCGGGCATTGAGCTTCTGCGGGTGGGTTGCACCTCGCTGTGCCTTGGACCGAAGCTTTGAACACTTGCATGAAGGTAGCAGCTTCTCGTTCCTGGCACATCTATCTGTTGATTCGATGATCTACTACATCTGCATCATTGCCTGGATCCATATCTACATGCCCATCTTCAACCCTACATTCAAATCCACATCGGTACTTACATGTGTGTCTATATATATATATATATTGAAGTCGATATATCGGTATCTACATTCACATCTGTATCTTGCAGAGTTCTTACACACCCACCTACACCGTCTCTTTTCGGGCACCTGCAATCTCTTGCAAAGTGGGATTGGATGGTCGGGGTTAGGTCGCTATAATGACCCACGTTCTCGGCCCTCGGGGAGTTGTTGGCTCGCATTCCCACCCAGAAGCTTCCAGAGCTATGCAGTGAGCCCTTCCCCGCAAAGCCTCGCAAACCTAAAAACCTTAGCCCCAGACTCCCGGACAAGGTCTTTCGGCTGGAAGAGGCCCTACTGTGGCGGTGCCAGGGCTCTCAGCAGAGCGGATGGGTTCCCAACTCGTGGCTTCAGCATTTTAATGAGGGCTCCGGCTATAGGGCTATTTGTTAGCGATGTTTGTTTCGATATTCCTTACTCGACTCCAAGCTTTGCTGCGTAGTACCGACCGCAAGGATTGGGTTACAGGTTGGCAGAGAAAGGATTCGGGTTCGAGTTTAGGGGTTCGGGTTTAGGGTTCAGGGTTTCGGGTTCAGGGTTTCGGGTATAGGGCTGCTCAAGGTTGATGTGAGCCTGCTCCGGGGCGCAGCCCTTGAAACCTAGCGCCTGACACCCGAAGCCACATAAATCGGAGCTACAAAACCCGATGTCTTCTTACAAAACCCAAAACCGAATCCCAAGGCCCGAAAAATACACACAACTCTGAATTGATCCTTGTAAAACACAACAAATGGGCCTGTAATCCATGATGATAAGCATAGCATAGTTGCCACCTATACAGATAGCTTTCTCACTCTGATGTTAGGGTTCTTCATGCAGTTGGAGCTGGCAGAATCACAGTTTTGCAGTTTCTGGGACTCCCACCCCGAAACCCCTAAACCCTAAACCCCTGAACCCTAAACATGCGGGCACTTCCTTGCTAAGTAGGCAAACTAAAACCCGAAACCCTTAAAGCCTGAACAAATAAACCTTAAACCCCGAAGCCCCTAAACCCCTAAACCCCTAAACCCCTAAACTCCTAAACCCTAAACCCTACACCCTAAGCCCCTAAACCCTAAGCTCCTAAACCCTAAGCCCTCTCCGAGGCCCCCGTGACCCACTACATCGTCCGCTGGGCACTTAGGGGCCTTTCGGGTTGCGGCTCCCTGGGGGCCCAAGGGTTTAGGGTTTAGGGTTTAGGGTTTAGGGTTTAGGGTAAAAGACCCTCAGTTTTGGGGTGTACTTGGAGGTTCATGGGTAGTTATAAGTGAAGTTATGGGGTTCCTTTAAGGGTTCCTTTAAAGGGTTCTATAGGGTTCAGGGTTTAGGGTTCATGGGTGGTTATGAGTGCAGTTATAAGTCCCCTGATATGGGTTTTAAGTTATAAGTACAGTTACCCTACTTGTAACCCGACTTATAACTACCCATGAACCTCCAAGTAGGGTTTACTTATATAGCAGCTGAGTGGATACGCTTTACGTACACGTTTTGGGATAATATTACCCACTATAAAACTGAACGTGTACACTCTTCACAATCTTACGAACTAAGCAACTAAGTTTAGGGTTGAGAGTGTAGGGTGTAGGATTTAGGGCTTAGGGGTTTAGAGTTTAGGGTAGGAATATAGAAAGAAAGACCACTTGAACCTTCAATACTTGGCCAGCTTGGACCGAGACCCCTGGCAGCTCTTGACCAGAACCTGAAACCCGATCGTGGTTTTGTGAACATGGCACGGGTGGAAGCACCTTACGAATTCTACCAGGAGCTTCGGGCCCTGTATGCCAATTCAACTAGATTTATAGGACCTAGCATGGAATGCCACTTGTAGAAATTCAGACCATTGCATTACATCTATGCCGTAGGCTTCTTTTCTCATATGCAAGATTCACGGCGGTAGATCGCAAGCTTCGCGTCGATCGTACATCCTCATCCCCCTTCAATAGCTCGGTAGACCCTAAACCCTAAACCCCTAAACCAGGCATAGAAAGCTTGGATCCTCACCTGGCTTGTCCGAGTTGTGAGAGTGTAAACCCCTAAACCCCTAAACCCTAAACCCCTAAACCCTAAACCCTAAACCCCTAAAGTCTGACTTGGCTGGGTAGCGTGATTTCAGATGTTCACTCGTTCGCGCACACGGTTTGGGGGTTTGGGGCTGTTGCAGAGCCCTCTTGAGATTTACGGTTTAGGGTTTAGGGTTTCGCAACTGCCCATCACCCAGATCCAATATGGACCGTGGTGACGGACTGATGCGTGAACTCTTTGGTCAGCTCCGAGTCTAGTACTTGGAGGTTCATGGGTAGTTATAAGTGGGGTTATAAGTAGGGTAACTGTAATTATAACCCATATTAGGGGACTTATAACTCCACTTATAACTACCCGTGAACCTCCAAGTAGTAGGGGGCTGCAGCAGGGGATCGATTGGCATTTTAGGGGACTTGCAGAGCCTTGTTCTAATTATATAGGCCCCTATAAATCATGAGATTTTTCACGCCCTGTAGCGTTTCCTATGCTTTCTCCGTTTAGGCGAAACCGGCATCTCTTGGCTGGAGTCTAGCGTCGAAAAGGGCAGCTGGCCTTTGTCGTGCCATTTGCTTCGGACGGGTTCCGAATCTGTCAATTTTGGGTTTGGGGTGTTCAGCTTACAGGGTATTTGGCTTAGCTTTGTTTTTTGTCATTTGTGTGCTGGACTGGAGGTTCAAGGAGCCACGCTCGA